TATGTATATATGTATATAATTTTAGTGAAACTGTAGTATCTTTTGTTTGTAATATGTAACATGAGATGGCCTGTGAAGTTCCGCCGGAAAATGAGATTACAGGGGTAAGTCCATTTGACGTTGAGGTAAATCTTCCGTACCAAGTGCCAAGCTGGCGATGGTTTCGGCGAGTAATGTTTATCGCCATAATTTGGCAAGAAATAGCCAAAAGTCACCAAACTTGGCTACCACTTGGCGACATTTTGTTCTGATCCTTATATAGCTGTAATTTATACTGTAATTGATCTTTATACATAACTGTAATCGTATCTGGCCCTTAGGTGTAGCTTTATCCGTATTTGCCTTCCAGCAATTTCGAGAAGTGGAAGGTACTAGTAAGTCCTCAGCGGCCGGAAAACTGTATAAGACCGTAGAGACCATCACTTCTCAGTTTTTCAGTTCAGAGTAGTTCAGAGTAGTTTTTCAGTTCAGTAGACAGGTACACTGAGAGATCTCCGTGCGAGCTTCGCTCTTTAAATGAGCTTTTCATTGCTTATGTTTCATAGCTTAGTAGTTTGAAATGTTAGCTACTGATTGTGCTCTGTTACACTGACAAGAGCTGTAGGGCTACTTTTGTGAAAAGTTCCAGAACTGTAAAGCTCTTCTTTTGGGAAAATAAATTCTATTGATCTATCATCGATTTTGTATGCATTCAATTCACTGCGAACCCATACGCACTCAACAATATAAATATATAGTTATACAAGTATCACTGCAAACTTTGAATTGCTTTTGGTTAAGTTCTTGAAATATAGTATATGCCTCTTGTTTTTAAGTCCCAAATCATTCTTTCTTGTGAAATCTATACTTTCTACACAATCGAAGTTCCTCATAGGGTTGCCAAAGAATTTCAATGGCAGTTTCAAATTTGTCTTCATAAATATCGTTCTTGCACATGGAGACATCTCCTTGTGTATATTTTATAGTAAATTATTTTCTTACTTCAGAGTTTCTATTGGAATGTTACTCTGAGTTAGTTGTATTAACTACGTTCTTACTTCAGAATTTACACAAAGTGTGTTAGACATATAAGCAAACTTGACAATAATCGTTAACGTTAGCATGTGCTGTATTTCACACATATAAAACATCCTGAATATAGTTACATTTTTTATTTCCTTCATTTCTTTATTTTTACAGTTTGAACTAATCAAGTTACTCGCTGCATTAAGAATAATCTAATATTATCCTTTCAGCTAAAAATACGTAAGCCTATTTTAAAGAGAAAATTAAGGAAATCAAATTCCCCAGTTTCAAAATAGCAAGTAAATAAAGAAGAAAAGTTGAAACAGTGAAATTTGGCAAACAAACATTCTAATACGAAACAAGTAGGAACAGCAATTTGGTAATGCAATAAAAGTTTTGGAAAATACTTCAGTTTTATGTAAATATTGCGTTCGAATCCTTCTAAGGTACTTATTCCAATTCCTTTATTATTTCCATCAAAAGGCTTCCTTGGTCTAAATTGAATTATTCGCGACAAAATTTATTTTATTACTCAAGTTTTCTGGCAGATTTAGAGGAAGATTCAATAAGCTTAAATATATTTCTTGATTTTTAAGGTACAGTTGCATACGTGCATTTATTTATTGCAATATACTGGGTAGTTTTCCAAGAAAATCCTGAAAGAAAGTCTAACTTACCTTTTTAGTTTTCCGAAGTCGCTTCAAAACCATATCTTTTATAGCTTCCTATATATATTAAATATAATATTTCGGTATCTAGCATTCCACTTTTGCAGGAAACGGAATTTATTTTTGCTTGAGTTGCGCTTTTCATAACCACATTTCGAACAAATACGTTTTTAGACTGATATATAAATCACTTTATGGGCCTTTAAAATAGGAATAAACAGACAGAAATTTTCAAACCTATATGCAAATCATATGGTAAAGGAACTTTTTCAAATTATTTTCCATAAAACAGCTATTGAAAGCACCGGTGAAGAAAAGAAACTATTAATTTCTATACTGCAATAGCATGCATGGATTTTCTCATCATTTTTGAAGAAGGATCTGAAAGCGGTTATATAACCGGAATTGAAACTGAGTCGAATTATTGTTTTCAAAACCATTACTTCTTAATCTAATCAACTTCTTCAGTTTAGTTACAAATTTGCGGGAAAGGATAGTAAAATACACTCATATCCATAAATTAAGGATAATGCAAAATCAGGCAAAGGAAGAGTTAGAAGCAAACCAAATTTGACTTATTTGCAAAGCTTATTTATTAAACAAAAGGTAAAGAGCAAAAAAAGATGCTATATGTTTGATATTATTAAAAAAATTAGCGATTATTTCTCCATGGAGCAAATTACAAAAAAAAAACCTATTTACAAAAAACCAATATTACATGATTGGTATGATTGATAATACATTGTATATCTCCCAGACGATGCAATACAGTCCGTACAACGCCTAGGCATGCTGAGTATCAAATTATTGATCTTATCTTGGGGATATTACACCACTCAAAAGCAATGCTCTCCGAAGTTCCGATAGACATGTAGGAGGAGGTTGACGGGCTGCAAATCGTCGGCCAAGCATGTCCCACACATGCTCTACGGGATTCAAGTCCGGTAAGAATGCTGGCCAGTCCATACGGGTGATATCCTCCGATTGAAGGCATTCGCTTACGATGTTTGCACGGTGAGGGCGGGCGTTGTCATCCATAAACACAAATTGTGCGCCCATGGCGCCCGAAACAAACGTACATGTTGTTCCAGAATGACGTCCCGATAGATTTGACTTGCCATGGTTCCAATTTGAACATGCAGGTTAGTTCTGGAACCCAGAATAATTTCGCCCCAAACGAGCACTCTTGCTCCACCGTAACGGTGTCGTTCAATGATAATTTCTTGGTGGTAACGGGTAGCTGGAGCTCTCCATATGAAAGTCCGGCGAGAATCAGACTGCAAGCTAAACCTGGACTCGTAGGAAAACATCACACAATCCCACTGTTGCAGTGTCCACAATGCATGCTCATTACTCCAGGCTAATCGCAGGCGACAGTGAGTTGCAGTAAGTGGAACGCATCTGACAGGTCTACGAGCATATAGACCAATCTGCCCTAAGCGTCTGTACACGGTCTGCCTTGAAATTGTCGTACCAGTGGCTGAAGAGAGCTGACGAGACAGGTCTGAGGCTGTGATCCGCCTGTTTCTTTTGGCAGTAACTGCCAAAACGGTCCCCATTCGGCGTTCTAACTCTGGGGCTACCTGTGCTGCAACGTCTACTCACATTACCATCATCTTGGAATCGTTGCCAAAGCCTGGAGATGACACTCTGGGCAATTCCAAGTTCGTCTGATACTTCCAGTTGGGTACGCCCACATTCCAGACGGCCGATAATTCTACCACGTAAAAAATCATGCAGATGCGTCCTTTGTGTCATAATTATTCGGTTATTGCACTGAAATGCTTATAAAGCACCTGCGAACAATTTTACTTCTTTGCCTGTATTCCTTATATATCACTCTCTTACACTGTCGTCATTGTGACGTACCATCGGTGTCATCTGGTTACTTGAAATTTGCATAAGGATCTTGAAGATGTGTAGTGATTTTACAGGTGATATATTTATTTAAGAGTTCGATTTCCGTGTGACTCTGAATTATCCTTAATTTATGGACATGAGTGTATATCAGTGGTCTGAAACACAAATTGCATGTGCGCCGAATCCACGATCTGAAAATAGCTGACGGGACAAACTTTTTTTAACAAAATAAAAATTTTTATCATCGAAATAAAAAAAAATTTCAGCTAAATTTAAAACTTGGTTTACTAAATATTTATCAAAGCATATAAAAAACTGTGGAACTTTCAACTGTGGAAAAAGAGGCTGATCACCATATACTAAGTGTATTCCCAAATAAGGAGATTATTCTTACTTCAAAAATTCGTAACTGGGTATATTTATTTTTTGACAAATACAAATAAATATTAATCAAATTTGCATTTTCAAATATTTGAGTAATATTTAAATCACTCTCTAAGTTATTTATCTCCATTTATATGTTTTCTTGTTCGTTGTTCACTTTCGATTTTAATTGTAATAATAATAATGTGAACTCGGAATTCAAATAACTAAAATCAAGTTAAAATATTGATCTTTGAAACACTGATTTTGCAACAAATACATAAATTAACTCTCTTAGCGGACTGCTTAAAATTGCTTCTACGACCGCATGTGGCCCGTAGGCTGTCAATTTAAGGTCACTGATATAAATAACTAAAGCATCATATGTATTTTTTGTGCTTTATTACCTTGAAACTACCTAAAGGGTTTTTAATTCCTTCTATGAATAAAGCTTCTTATGGAAAGACGAGAAATGTATGATGATCGGAATATTTACGAAAGCGATATTTATGTTCGATATAATTTTGCTATATTTTAGTTTATTTGATTCAGAGAAACGTTGTTTATGGACCAGATTGAAAACATTTCTGAATTCTGTTTACTTCTAATCCTCCTTTTCTTCAAAGCAGAAGCAAAGGCTTTATTTATCTATCCTCGCAAAGAACTTCACGAAGGGTTTCTTTACTTATAGTATTACAGGTCGCTTATTAAAGGACAAAACGTAAAAGAAAATATTTCTTTCGATGTTAGGAAATTCAAAAGAGTTTTGAGAAAAACATATTCTGTTGATCAATAAAGTTATGCGTTAGACGCCTTTAAAAGAGACTTTTTTTTTTTTTGGCTAAAGTTCCGGAAAGCAGAACTTCGCGTTTCTAAACATTTTATCGGGAAATGGATGGGCAAAGGAAACTGGGAAGACATGCTGACATAAGATAGCTTCCATGAAATCGACAAAAAGTATATTCAAAATTTTAGTTTTAAAGTGCAAACAAATATTATGCGAGTAAAGCACATCTTTAAGAAATATTTTGCGTTCATGCTTTAATTACAATATAACGCGCTTTACTTCATTTTATTTATTTCTAAGCGAAAGTTTTTTTTTAGGTTATTGGTTATGGCGAGGCACACTAAGGCTATCTACCTAAGGGGGGATGCCTTTGGAGAAAAATGCGGAAGTCAACCATCGCCTGAATTCGAACCCAGGGATTAACTTACCAGTATACACAGCCCTTAACCGCTCAACTACTGATGGGGGTCATCTTTCTGTATTGAAGACATTTCTGTAAGCAATGTAAAAGTACTTTGAGTAAGGTGTTTTAGTAAAATAAAGGGAGTTTTAATGAATATTGAAGACAGTCTTCTAAAAGCATCTCTTTGTTCTTGATTTTATTAACTGCCTAATGCTAAAATTTAAATTAATATGAAGCCGCTGGTTAAGTTGAATTGATATAACGAACCTGTAAAAATATTAGTGCTTTAAGAATGGATTTTATTAGCATTTTATGCGCAAAGCTTAAGGACGAAGAAATAAAAAAAACATAATAATGTACACAGTAAATATAACTAATTAGAAACATATTGCGTCAGTTATTTATGATGTAGCTTGCGAAGGTTATCTGCCTAAGGTGATGAATTTTATAAAATGCAGTAGGTGTTATTTAATTTATGCATATTAAAAATCACATATTGTGTTCAACCGTGGAAAAACAAAGCAGGGACGAATTATGGTATTTCAGAATCAAACAGTCTCCAACTATTTGGACTGTTTACTCTTTCCCCAATTAAAGTAGGCATTTTCTAGGATGATCACTTCAAGTAATGTCCAATCAAGTAAAAACATTTAGTGTCACTTCAGCTCAAAATACGTCTTGCATTTAACAAAACAGTTGGAAATGAATGAATACCTCCCAAGTAGCACAGCAACGTCATAACGACGTTGCAAATTCGTCGCGGATGTCGTTGCAAAAACGTTGCAATATGTCGTCTTTAAGACGCCCAGAAGTCCGCGAACATCCACTGTTTTGCAACCGTTGCAAAGACGTCTTTATTACGTCTTTGCAGATGAGGTTTCTGTCGCATAGAGATCGTTATTGCTTCTTTCGCAGGTGATATTTTGGTTGTGAAAGCACCGTATCACGACGTCTTAAAGACGCCTAAATGTTCGCCAAATTCCACCTTTTTGCAACAGTTGTGAAAATGTCGTTATTATGTGCTCGTGTTACATACTGATTTATGCAGAAAAATAAGCTTAATAATTAATATATTTTTCTTCTTTTTTAAAAGTTTGTATTCCTTGTATTTATCTAAAGTTTTAATATTTTATCATTTCCTGAAACCCAGAAGATAATACATTTTTTTCTCTTTAGACTAAATATGCATAATTAATAATAGCCTTAATTATTTTCAGTATTTTAAACTATATTTTTTAAATAAATTAAATTCTAAGTTACGAATATTTAAGATTTCATCATTTTTTTTCCTGAATATAATATTTCGGTATCTAGCAAGTGAGAGTAATTATGAAAGTGGTTATTATAAATATATAACATTAATAGTAGGTTTTAAGTAAATAAAACTCAATTAGACATAAATGAAAGTAAAGATACATATGTGGGTAAAAAAAAGAGCGTTTCTGAAAACAGCATTATCACATTTATTTCTGTTAAATCTCAGAGCAATTGAAAATGTCTCTTTGCCCCTGTCATGATAAATTAGGAAGCGGTTCTTAAGGTAACATAATCAGTATTTTACCTGAACTCAAGTATAAATTTATTCGCGTTTCACAGTAAAAAATATAACTATTAACAGCTATATCTCCAAGATATGCAAATTAAAGACGATATAAAGTAGTTAATAAATGTGATCAAAAACATACCTAAATCTAATAACTTCCCCTATTCATATCTAAAATGAAATAATAACCTAACAAACAACACACATGACAGCACTATTTAAGAAAAAACATTAACTAGTAGTGTTTGAAAGTATAAATAGCAGAAGGAAGGTAACAGAACTAAAATTTCCAATTAATAAAAAAATATTTGTGTTTTTTAAATAGTAAGCAATTAAAAGTGCAATAATTATGGATTGCAGTATTTACTAGTAATGCTGATGTTTCTTAACACCATTTCTTTCGATCATATGTTAATGTATTTACTTATTTTTAGTTTTTACATTTTAGAACAGTGGTAGATTACAATGATTATTTCATGCACTTTTTATAATCAATAACTTTCCTTTTGTTACTGTACAGAAATAATTGAAATAATATAGCATACGATAGTAAGCTAAGTACGTTAAAGTAAGCTCTTCGTTAAAGAGCACACAATGAAACTTTGTGTTTCTATTTATTATGAATTTCTTTGTTATCACAAGCACATAAAAAGTAAGCGAAGAAAATAGAATATACTTAAATTTACTAAAAAAGAAAACCTGATTTCCAACATTCATTTGTTGAGATAAACATACATAACGGCATTATTTAAAAAAACGCGAATTACAGTGTTTTTGGAAGGATAGATACCAAACGAAAAGTAATAAAACTGCAATTCGGAATCAATAAAAATATTTAGTGTTTTCCTTAACACTAGGTTTTCGATCATACATTTTATACACTGTTTAAAATCATTAACCTTTCCTGCATACTGTACAAAAGACAATGTACTATAGAATGTGCATTATTATTAATTTTAATAATTGATTAATTGCTTATATTATACATATATCTAATTCATCTTCAGCAGTCATATTAAGTACTGGTACCAATCCAATAATTTCTTTGTATTTTGAAAATAATGAACATACCATGACAGCTTGAATTGTTGTAACTTCTGTATTGATTGAATTTTCAGCAAAACCAGAAAGTGGATTACCGTTGTATTTTATTTTTGGTTTTATATATGAATTAATTCTGAAAGATAACAGGACGTTATAAACGCAGCACAAAGCTAGTAAGTTTATCCAAATGTTTCACTGCTGGAACCACAGTGACTGGAGACAGACACTATTTCACGAACCATAGAAACTCTATTTCACGAACACTGTATTCCACAGACCACCATAGACCACAGTGACACTATTTCACGAACACTAGATTCACGATTAGTTTAGATTCACGAAGGCATTTCATGTAGAGCAGAAAATTCACACAAAAAATAAACACAAATTCAGCACTCTTACGATAATTTCACTCGCTGAAGGCAGTTGAAGCAAGTAGATACAGAACAATGAGAAGATTCACAATGCGTTCTTTGATTCACAGTGCATTACACTTACTTTTAATATAAGCAATATTATTTTATATACGTCAATGCTTGATACAATTTTAAACTTGAAGTAAGTCTTTTCAAACGCCTTACAGATGGTATCTTTACCAAATCACTTGAAAGAGCAGCGAGAATCTGAATTAATTGCGCAGTTGTTCGAATTTGGCAGCTAGCCAAAGCGCGCAAATCTCGAGATGTTCGTTTATATTAAGCATCCAGTTACAATGTACAAGTCTCCTTCTCCTTCCGCCATATATATTGGACAGACGTGAATTCGTCCTTACTTAAGAAATAAGAAATAAGTCATATTTCAGTAGTGAAATAATTGGAAACATGTGATTTGCATTCATTTCGGAAATAGGATTTTTTAAAGTATATAAAATGCATAACTTAATAACTTACTTTATAGATTAGTTTCATTTTTAAATATTTTACTATGATATTTATAAAAAATATTTTAATTATTAATTATTTTAACAAAATTTTAAACAATTATGTTTAGCACATATTTTAGTACTAATTAAATTTAATAAGTCAAAAGCATTTATATTAAATTTACATTTCATTAGATGAATCTACCTTAGATTAATATATTTAGATGAAATAAAGTAAAGAAACATTGCAAAGTAAATCTTATGCGGACTTCAGATTCTTGAAAGGGCAGATTTAGTCTCTTTCATTCTAAAAATAATGCTGATGAACTAAAAAAAATGCTAAAACGACCACGTGTAAAAGCGGTCATATCAGGACGTTTCAGCAACATCGGCAAATTGCGAAGATTGCAACGGCAAATACACTCATGTCCATAAATTAAGGATAATGCAAAATCAGGCAAAGGAAGAGTTAGAAGCAAAACAAATTTGACTTATTTGTAAAGCTTATTTATTAAACAAAATGTAAAGAGCAAAAAAAGATGCTATATGTTTGATATCATTGAAAAAAATAGCGATTTTTTCTCTCTGGAGCAAATTACAAAAAAGAAAACCTATTTACAAAAAACCAATATTACATGATTGGTATGATTGTTAATACATTGTATGTCTCCCAGACTATGCAATGCAGTCCGTACAACGCCTAGGCATGCTGAGTATCAAATTATGGATCTGATTTTGGGGGATATTACACCACTCAAAACGCAATGCTCTCCGAAGTTCCGGTAGACATGTAGGAGGAGGTTGACGGACTGCAACTCGTCGGCAAGCATGTCCCACACGTGCTCTACTGGATTCAAGTCCGGTGAGAATGCTGGTCAGTTCATACAGGTGATATCCTCCGATTGAAGGCATTCGCTTACGATGTTTGCACGGTGAGGACGGGCGTTGTCATCCATAAACACAAATTGTGCGCCAATGGAGCCCCTAAACAAACGTACATGTTGTTCTAGAATGACGTCCCGATAGATTTGGCTTGTTATGGTTCCAATTTGAACATGCAGGTCAGTTCTGGAACCCAGAATAATTCCACCCCAAACGAGCACTCCTGCACCACCGTAACGGTGTCGTTCAATGATGTTTTCTTGGTAGTAACGGGTACCTAGAGCTCTCCATATGAAAGTCCGGCGAGAATCAGACTTCAAGCTAACCCTGGACTCGTCGGAAAACATCACACAAGCCCACTGTTGCGGTGTACACGATACATGCTCTCTACTCCAGGCTAACCGCAGGCGACAGTGATTTGCAGTAAGTGGAACGCATCTGACAGGTCTACGAGCATTTAGACCAATCTGCCCTAAGCGTCTGTACACGGTCTGCCTTGAAATTGTCGTGCCAGTGGCTGAAGAGAGCTGACGAGACAGGTCTGAGGCTGTGTTCCGCCTGTTTCTTTTGGCAGTAACTGCCAAATATCGGTCCTCATTCGGCTTTGTAACTCTGGGGCGACCTGTGCTGTAACGTCTACTCACATTACCATCATCTTGGAATCGTTGCCAAAGCCTGAAGATGACACTCTGGGCAATTCCTAGTTCGTCTGATACTTCCACTTGGGTACGCCCACATTCCAGACGGCCGATAATTCTACCACGTAAAAAATCATCCAAATGGGTCCTTTGTGTCATAACTATTCGGTTATTGCACTGAAATGCT